TACAGATTCAGTGTAATCCCTATTAAAATGCCAACATCATTTTTCATAAATTTAGAAAAAATAATTCTACACTTATGGAACCAGAGAAGATCCCATATAGCAAAAGCAACTTTAAGGAAAAAAACAAATAAAGAGGCATCAATTTTCTAGACTTCAAGATTATAGTAACTAAAATAGCATGGTAATAGCACAAGAATAGAGACCTAGACCAATGGAACAGAGCTGAGAACCCATATATCAAACCATCCTCATATAGCCATCTAAACGTTGACAAAGCAGACAGAAAGATAAAATGGGGATAAGAATTCTTATTGAATAAATGGTGCTGGGGAAATTGGATAGCCACATGTAGAAGACTGAAACAGGATCCACACTTCTCACCTCTCACAAAAATCAACTCACAATGGCTAAAAGACTTAAACCTAAGGCATGGTACTATAGGAATTCTAGAAGAAAATGTTGGAAAAACTCGGCCTAGAGACACAATTTATGAAGAAGACCCCAAAAGCAGTCACAGTAACAACAAAAATAAATAAATGAGACCTGAGCAAATTAAAAGGCTTCTGCACAGCCAAGGAAACTATTACCAGAGCAAACAGGCAACCTACAGAATAGGAGGAAATATTCACATGCAACCCATCCAATAAAGGGCTGATAACTAGAATCTATATAGAACTCAGGAAAATCGGCAAGAAAAATATCAAACCACTCCATTAAAATGTGGACAAAGGACATGAACAGAACTTTTCAAAAGAAAACAGACTAATGGCCAACAAACATGAAAAAATGCTTAACATCTCTAATCAGGGAAATCCAAATCGAAACCACAGTGAGACATCACTGAACTTCAGGGAAAATGCCTTTTATCAAAAACTCCCAAAACAACAAATGTTGGCATGGATGCAGAGATAAGAAAACATATACACTGTTGGAGGGACTAACTAGTACAACTTGTATGGAAAGTAATATGGAGATACCTCAAAGAACTAAAAGTAGAACTACCATTTGATCAAGCAATCTCATTACTGGGCAACTACCCAAAGGAAAAAAAGACATCCTATAAAAAAAGACATCTGTGCTAGAATGTTTATAGCAGCACAATTCACAGTTGCAAAGATGTGGAAACAACCCAAGTGCCCATCAATACATGAGTGGGTTAATAAAATGTGGTATACATATACCATGGAGTACTACTTGGCCACAAAAAACAATGGTGATCTAGCACCTCTTGTATTATCCTGGATGGAACTGGAACTCATTCTACTAAATGAAGTATCACAAGAATGCAAAAACAAGCACCACATGTACTCGCCATCAAACTAGTATTAATTGATCAACACTTATGTACACATATAATAGTAACATTGATTGGATGTCGGGCAGGTAGGAGTGAGGAGGAGGTGTTGGATATATTCACACCTAATGAGTGAGGCACACACTGGGGGATGGACTCGCTTGTCGCTCTGACTCAGATGGGACAAAGGCAATATATGTAACCTAAACTTTTGTACCACCGTGATACTCTGAAATAAAAAAAAATAGTATAAATTGCTACAACCACTTTGAAGAGCTGTTTGGCATGCTTTGGTAAAGCTAAAAAAGGTCATATGCTATAACACAGCAAGTATACTTCTACATATATACCCAAATCAAATTATCATATTATGTGCATAATGTGAATACAAGAATGTTTACAGTGGTATTAGTTAATAAGCAAGCTAAATCCAACAGGAGAATGGTTAGTGACTTATTTCTATAATTGGTACAAGGTTTTAAAATATGCAGAGCAGTACTATATATTTTTATAAATATGAAAATATTGAAATCTGCACTAAATTAAATAAACAGTATTTGTTAGATATCTTTACTCTTTATTGAAATATTCCATGAAAAGTTAATTTCATATTCACAAGTTTTTTAGGGGTATTATGTAGAATACTGATTATTAGAGAATCTGTGTTACCTTTTTGTTTTTTCTCTTATCAAGTTGTGGTTTGAAAGGATGTGTTACTTTTAATAAAAGTAAATTGACTTTTAGGCCAGGTGCAGTGGCTCACACCTGTAATCCTAGCACTCTGGGAGGCCGAGGCAAGCAGATTGTTTGAGCTCAGGAGTTTGAGACCAGCCTGAGCAAGAGCGAGACCCTGTCTCTACCAAAAATAGAAAAATTTAGCCAGGCATGGTGGCATGTGCCTATAGTCCCAGCTGCTCGGGAGGCTGAGACAGAAGGATCACTTGAGCCCAGAAGTTTCAAGTTGCTGTGAGCTAGGCTGATGCTGTGGTACTCTAGCCCGGGCAACAGAGTGAAACTCTGTCTCAAAATAAATAAATAAATAAATAAATTGACTTTTAAAAAGTTATACACAGTTGACCTAAGAATTGGATCAAATTTTAAAATTTAAATGTTAAACTAAATGAATAAACAGATGGTTTTATTTAAGAAATTTCAGTTTAAAAATGTTAAAGTTCATCATAATCCTTGAATACTCAAAATGAGATAAACTAGTTAATGGATGATAGTCAAGAAAAATATCCACTTATAAATATGCAAAAGAAACACATTGGTGTTAAAGAATATACAAATAGTGTCTTGGTTCATTTTTAGCAGTGGCCTTTTCTGAGCATTTCATTTCTGTTGAGTTTTGAGGGGCTCCAGTAAATAGCATCCCTTTTCTTCAATGGAGTTCTGAACCAACTGAAAAATAAAAGCGTCATAATGTGGAGATTCAGAATTGCCCCTTTGTTACAGTAAAGGAAGGGATAGAAGAAACAGCTTAGTGAGACAGTCATATTAGTCTTGCTAACTCCCTGAATACCAATTCTACCTCCCATCTAAGTCTAGAGCAGAGCAAACTAATTTACCCAGGTCATTCACTGTTCCTACTCACTGGTCCAGGGAAAGATGGAAGAAAAAGAGACCAAACTCCCCACCATCCAGGTAAGTCACTCTGCATCCCTAGGCAGAATATAGGGGTAGAGTAAGAAGCCTCCTATTTAGTTAGTAAGAGATATCTTATCATGCAGTTTCGAATGAGAGAAAAGTAGTTTATGCCTTTCCCCTGACATTTCATTTTGTCAGATTCATATTTTGAGTATTTTCTGAAAATTAGTTGAACTAAACTGTTAAACTTCAGTAGTTAGCTGTATTTACAGTAGGAAAGAGTGTCATAATCTTATATGATTTATCCTTAACTCTTGATTTTTTTTTTAAAATTATGTCTTTGAAGAGCATTTACTATATCCTTATTTAAAAGCATGTTTGTTTGGATTAAAAGAGCAGAGAGTAAATACTTTAGACATCTTGTGCTGATACTTAGTTTACCAATTTTTAGTTTTACAAACCTAGTCACTTACTTGTTACCTGCTATGAGCAAGAATTATACTGGGTAGGATTTAGCATATGATTGTCTCATGGGAGGCCCTCACGGTCTAATGGAGGAGTCAAGTAATTACAGTGTTGGTGATACTACCACAGACCATAAGCAGAGTGTTTTGGTTACATACATGATGGGAGATTAATGAGAACTGATGATACATCGAAGATGATTTGTTGCTTCTGTGTTAAAATACATGCATGAAGATTTGGTAGTTCTGAAATAAAAATCTTATTACTAATTTCACCATTCTCATGGAAGTGACAAACTCTTCATTTCAAATAAACTTAGTCACAATTTAACTCTTTGAGCTATATTTTTTAATTATTTCCTCGTAGTTTTATGACCTCAAAGTATTTTGGGGGGGAAATATGTGACATGACTTTTTTAGTTTTATTAAGCCCTTTACTAACTTAAAGGGTAGACGGCCGGGTACGGTGGCTCACTCCTGTAATCCCAGCACTTTGGGAGACTGAGTCAGGAGAATTGTTTGAGTTCAGGCGTTTGGGCTATAGTGAGCTATGCTGACTCCACAGCACTCTAGCCCTGGCAGCAGAGTGAGACCCTGCCTGAGAGGGGAAAAATTAGGATGGGTGGCATATTGTTACCTTGGAGGTTACAACTAGAAAGGAAATATTCATTAGATGTCTTCAGTGACAATCAAAGGAAATCATTATTTTTCACTCTCTAAAATTTTAATTGTAGAGTCACATGAGTAACTACAACCACAGAAGGTAGCTGGGGAGGGTGGCACCCCATGGAGTCGGAAGAATATATCCTTCAGAGCCAGACCAACCTGGTTCAACTCCTTGCCCTAAATAGCAAATTCCTGAATCTCTCTATTGATAAACAGTGATACCTGCTTCGTTAGGTTTATTTGGAGATTAATGCTTAAAGTTTTTCTGAGCCCACAGTGTAAAGGAAATCTTTCAAGAATGGGCCAAATGTATTTTAAGAAATAACTTAGTGCTGGTTAGGAGATTACCTATAAAATTTGAATAAGAATGATGCTAAAATGCTTCCTCTGATACTACAGTTCATATCTTCCTGTCTGAAAAATGTAGAAATCATTAAGGGATGAAATCTTATGTGTACAACAGTGGGACAGAGGGTAAATGAATGGTAGAACACATGGGAGTGAGTATGGTTATGAAGAGTATAGATAAGATAAAATATTTTTTATGTGTTATAGCAAAAGCAGGATATATGTATTTTACATTAAATCTTTATTTTTAAAATGTGCAGAAAAACTGAACTCACCAATTAATCACATTCATTGTTAGAATAACAGAATTGAATGATTGTTTTATTTTCCCTCCCTGTCAGTCCCATGAGTTTGTTTTATAATGAGAAAAATATGTTAGACAGTTATGCCTCCTAGAGCCAGAAGTTCCTTCTCTTTATAGGCAAAACATAAACTACGTTTCTTAATGCTTGGTTCCACTATTAAGACCACCAGAGAAACAGACCATTAGTCTTAGTTCATTTAACTCCTTAGGCATCAGCCTCTTATCTGTTATATCTTTATGTCAGCTGTCATAATTTGGTGTATCATGTTGTATATGAATAGTAGAAAAATTCAAGTGTCTTTTTAAAGCAGTGTTTTTCTTTGTGTTCATGTTACAGATTTATTTGAGGTTCCTAGATTATCAAATGGAGCACTCAAATGAATGCAAGAGAAACTTCGTTGCAATCTATGATGGAAGCAGTTCTATTGAAAATCTGAAGGCCAAGTTTTGCAGCACTGTGGCCAATGATGTAATGCTTAAAACAGGAATTGGAGTGATACGAATGTGGGCAGATGAAGGTAGTCGGCTTAGCAGGTTTAGAATGCTCTTTACTTCCTTTGTGGAGCGTAAGTAAATAATTCCTATAGTATTGAGATCTTTTACATGATTTTCACTCATTTATAATACACTTATTGAGCATTTTTTAAAATTTATTTGCATTTTTTAAACTTTAAAAACATTTCTAAATTTTATTTATTTTTAGAGGCAGGGTTTTTCCATGTTGCCCAGCCTGGCCTTGAACTCCAGGGTTCAAGCAGTCCCCCACCACAGCATCCCAAGTAGCTAAGACTACAGGTGCATGGCACCACACTGGGCAGCTTTTGCTTTTGACAAAAACTGCAAGTCACAGAGGATGTAGAAACAACTAAATCTTGGTCCCTCTTCTAGAAGAATTGACTATCATGTGTTTTAAAAAAAAAATCTATGTTAATGGATAAATTAGATCACTGCCTCATTATAAAGATGTAAAGAAGTGATGGCGATTGTAGAAAGTGGAGACTGATATTTTCTCTCAAGATTTTCTAACCTATCAGTAGCATCCAGCTTGGTGAATAATTGTGATTCTACCAAAACATGCTCACTGAAGATTTAGATATGCTATTGATGTTTTCTTTTTTTAACTTTTTGTTTTTAAATAACTTTAAGCTTACAGAAAGTTATAACAATAGTAGAGTTCCCATATGCCCTTCACTCAGATTTTCCTAATGTTAACATCTTACAAAGCCATACTGAAAATTAGTACTGATGCAATATTATTAATTAAATCTATAACCCTTATTCAGATATCTCTAGTTTTGCTGTTTATGTCTTATCCAATTTCCCGCATTGCTTTTGTCAGTTGTCCTAAGTCTTCTCCATCTATGGCAATTAGTCTTTCTTCATCTTCCCTTGACACATTTTAAAGAATACTGGCCAATTTAGTAGATTGTCTATCAGTTTGAGTTTGCGCAAGGTTTTCTTAGGGATTCATTTGAGGCCATGTGTTTCGATGAATTCTGTGAAATCATGCTGTCCATTTCTCAGAACGTCCCATTAGTGAAGTGCGGGTACCTGATACCAGCTTGTCTTAATGCCAGTGATGTTAGCTTTGAGCACTTTGTTAAGGTGCTGCCTGCCAGTTTTCTCCACTGAAAAGTTAACTATTTTTTTCCTTTGAAATTAGTAAGTCTCTTTGAGACTAAACAAATATCCATTCACTCACTAATTTTAGCAACCATTGATAGTTTCTGTCTGTAACAGTTATTACCATGGTGTTTACCTAATGGTGATTTTCGGTTTCTATCATTCCTCCTACATATATTATTATAATTAGAATTCTGCTATAAGGAAAAACTATTCTTTTTTTCCTCACTTATGTATTCATTCCTTTGTTTATATCAGTATAGGCTCATGGATATTTTCGCCATTGGGAGCTCCTTCACATTGCCTCCTATATCCTTTTGATGTACCCAGTTATAATTTTTTTAATCACTTTCTTACTTTCTGGTACCACTCAGTGAACCAGGCTCAACTTGTATTTCCCCTGCTCTAGCTCTCAAACCAATCATATTTCAAAGGAGCCCTTTCTTTATCTTACAGTATGAAACCAGATTCCAGTTGTCCAAAATATATTTATTTGTTCAATCTTAATGTGCACAAAAAGTTTTGTAACTGTTAACTCATATCCCTCTGAGAAAATTCTTAACACAATACTTTATTTGTGTACAATTCTTTTTGTCTTTAGCTTTACTGTCAAAATACTGTTTTCCATTTAGGTTAGTTGTTTTCCTCTCACCTTTCTTTGTGGTTATGTTATTCATTTGTAATACACTTAGATTCTCTGTGATTGTTTATATTTCATTTTGTGTTCCCCCCCACGTCATGGTTTCTTTAAACTGTTTTTATCTTGGGGGTACTTGGAACATGACTGTTGTTCTCAGAGAGCTTTACAAAGAGATACATTGGAACATGTTGTCACCCTGCCCTCCCTACTCCCCAGTCCCCCTCCATTCTCTGCATTCCATTTCTACCTTCCACCCATTTCTCTTTGTGCAAATGAGCAAATACTTGTGTATTTTCTTATGTCCCTTTTTTCTTACATGAAGGGCAGCATTATAATCTTTTGCACTTTGCATTTTTTACTTAAAAGAATATCCAGGAGGCCAGGCACGGTGGCTCATACCTGTAATCCTAGCACTCTGGGAGGCCGAGCCAGAGGATTGCTTAAGGTCAGGAGTTCAAGACCAGCCTGAGCAAGAGTGAGACCACGTCTCTACTAAGAGTAGAAAGAAATTAGCTGGACAACTAAAAATATATAGAAAAACTTAGCAGAGCATGGTGGCACATGCCTGTAGTCCCAGCTACTGGGGAGGCTGACGCAAAAGGATTGCTTGAGTTTGAGGCTGCTGTAAGCTAGGCTGACGCCAGGGCACTCTAGCCCAGGCAACAGAGCAAGACTCCATCTCAAAACAAAAAATAAGAATATCCAGGAAATCATGCCATATCAGTTCATAGAGATTATCCTTATTTTTTTAATAGATGCATAGGAGAACATTGTATATACCAACTTTATTTGGTTTTCTATTTATGGGCATATGAATTATTCCCAATATTTGGCAATTAGAAACAGTGCTACAATGAATAATGTTGAGTGTATGTATTTTCATATTGTTGGAGGCATATCCTCAGAATAAATTCCTAGAAGTTGGATTGTTTGGTCAAAAGGTAAGTCATATGTAGTTTACTAGGTATTGTCAAATACCTTTCCAGGGGGGTATAGCTTTTTTAAGAACTGTGGTAAATATAGGTAACATAAAATTTACCTTCAGCTAATTTTAAGTATACAAATCAGTGGCATTAAGTACATTCACATTGTTGTACAACTATTACCACTATCCTTTTCCAAAGCATTTTTATCCCAAAGTGAAACTCTGAACCCAGTAAACAATAACTCCCAATTTCTCTCACCTCCCACTCCTGGTAACCTGTATTCTACTTGGCCTCTGGGAATTTCTTCATTCTAGGTAACTCATATGAAGTGGATTCACACAGTATTTGCCCTTCTGTGTCTGGCTTATTTCACTCAGCATAGTGTTTTCAGGCTTTGTCATGTTGTAGTATGTGTCAGAATTTCCTTTTTTAAGGCTGAATAGTATTCCATTGTGTGTATATGCCACATTTTGCTTATACATTCACGTGTTGATGGATACTTGGGTTGTTTCTACCTTTTGGCTGTTGTGAATAATGTTGCTGTGAACATTGGTGTACAAGTATCTGTTCAATTTCCTGCTTTCAATTATTTGGAGTATATACCTGGAAGTAGAATTTCTGGGTCATATGGCAAATTTGTTTAAATTTTTGTTTTACATTCCCACCAGCAATGCACAGAGGGCTCCAGTCTCTCCAGCTCCTTGCCAACACGTGTTATTTTTTGTTTTGTTTTGTTTTTTTATAGTAGCCATCCTAATGTGTATAAAGTGGTGTCTCATTGTGATTTTGATTGCCTGGTAATTAGCCCATCTTTTCATAGGCTTCTTGGCCATTAGTGTACATGCTTTGGAGAAATTTCTGTTCAAGTCCTTTGCCCATTTTTGAATTAGGGGTTTCTTTAAGTTGTAGAAGTTCTTTACATACTCTGAGTATTAATCCTTTATCAGATATATGATTAGCAGATATTTTTCTTATTCTGTATTGTCTTTTTGCACCCTTGATAGTGTTCTTTGAGGTATAAAAGTTTTTAATTGTTTTGAAGCCCAATCTATTTTTGCTTTTGTCACCTTTACTTTTTGTATGATATCTAAGAAATCATTGCCAAAGCCACTGTCATGAAGCTTTTCCCATGTGTTTTCTTCTAAGAGCTTTATAGTTTTAGCTTTCACTTACATTCACGCCTTTGATCCCTTTGGAGTTAATTGTGGTATGTGGTGTAAGGTAAGGGCTCAACTTCGGTCTTTTTCATGTGGATATTCAGTTTTCCCCAGGTCATTTGTTGAAAAACTGTCCTTTCCCCACTCAGTGGTCTTGGCATCCTTGTCAGAAATCAAATGGGCTGAATGTGGTTATGCAGCCAATAGTCCCAGCTACTTGGAGCACTTGAGCCCAGGAGTTCAAAACTGTAATGTGGGCCGGGCGCGGTGGCTCACGCCTGTAATCCTAGCTCTCTGGGAGGCCGAGACGGGCGGATCGTTTATGTTCAGGAATTCGAAACCAACCTGAGCAAGAGCGAGACCCCGTCTCTACTATAAATAGAAAGAAATTAATTGGCCAACTAATATATATGGAAAACATTAGCCGGGCATGGTGGCACATGTCTGTAGTCCCAGCTACTCAGGAGGCTGAGGCAGGAGGATTGCTTGAGCCCAGAAGTTTGAGGTTGCTGTGAGCTAGGGTGACGCCAGGGCACTCACTCTAGCCTGGGCAACAAAGTAAGACTCTGTCTCAAAAAAAAAAAAAAAAAAGACTGTAATGTGCTACGATGTCCCCTGTTAATAGCCAATCTACTTCTACCTGGACAGCATAGAGAAACCCCATCTCTAACACAAACAAACAAACAAACAAAATCAGTTGGCCATTTAAATGAAGGTTTATTTCTGAGCTCTCTATTCCATTGTTCAATACATCTGTCCTTATGCCAATACCAATGGTTTTGATTAATGTAGATTTGTAGTAAATTTTGAAATCAAAAATGAGTCCTCTCTATTCTTCTTTTTCAAGATTAGTTTGGCTATTCAGTATCCCTTGAGAGTCCATGCATTTTAGGATGGGCTTTTCTGTTTCTACAAAGTAACACTGTTGAGATTTTGATAGGGATCACTTTAAATCTGTGGTTCACTGTGAGTAATATTGTCTTCTTAACTATATTAAAGCCTTTCAATCCATGAACACAGAATGTATTCCTATTTAACACAGAATGTATTCCTAATTATTTGTCATCTTTAATCTTATTCAGCAATATTTTATAGTTTTCAATGTACATGTCTTTTGTCTCCATGGTTAAAGTTATTCCTAAGTATTTTATACTTTTTGATACTATTATAAATGGAATTATTTTTTTGATTTCATTTTCTGATTGTTAATCGTTTGTATA